AGGATGTTTTTAGTTGTCATAGATGCCCACAGCAAATGGCCAGAAGTTTTTGACATGAGAGATAATACGAAAGCCTGGAAGGTTATTCAAATCTTCAAAAAGTTATTTGTCAGACACGGATTGCGTGATCATTTGGTTACTGATGGAGGACCCCAATTCACCAGCAGTTTATTCAGAAACTTTTTGAAAAGGAATGGTATAAGGCATACAGTAACACCTCCAAAACATCCAGCAACAAATGGAGCTGCAGAAAATTTTGTTGGTACTTTCAAAGATAAAATGTGCAAGATGTTAAAATCTGGGCTATCAGTCGAGTATGCTATGGACAGTTTTCTTTTAGACTACAGGCGAATAGAGCATTCTACTACCGAAAGATCACCAGCTTATCTTATGTATAAAAGAGAAATTAAAACGAAATTTGACCTTCTGAAACCAAATGTGAATAATGATGTGGAACTTAAGCAGTGCCAATCCCTCTTAAGAAATGAATCATCCCGTTGTATCAACTTTCAGGTAAATGATGAAGTAATGGTAGATGATTTTAGTGTAAATGCCGCAAATAAGAGGACTCGAGGAAGAATAAAAAAGCAACTGTCACCTGTAACATTTTTAGTTGAAACAGACGATGGTATTACATGCAAACGCCATGTGGACCAAATCGTCAGATTTCTCCCTGGGAAAAAAATAAGAGAAGAGGCTATTTCTATAAATCAACAAGAGAGCAACCAAATAATCAGTCATGGAAGTGGGAGCCCTCCTTGAGAGCTGCAGAAGACTCATTTATTTGTGTTCTTAGTTTTATACAAGACTTATATGTAATTTTGATTTTTTTTTCATGTTTTTAATGTTTTCATGTTTCATATATGTTTCTATTTTTGTAACTATGATACACTTTCTTTAGAAAGGGGGGAATTGTGATATATCGATTATACCAATTAGTGATTGAGTGGTATTAACCTTACAGTGTTATCTTTGATGATGAATTAAACAGTTGTGTTCACTAATATTGTAGTTTTGTGCTTTAGTATTCCAAGTACTTAACAGTTGACATGAAATGCGATATTATCATATGATAATGTCTATTAAGAACAAAAGATCAAGAAGCTTAGGCAATAATAGCTCTCTTAATTCACCAGTAAAATAAAAGCCTAGGCGTTCTAACAGAAAAACACAACCATCTACACCTGATAGACCAAATGAAGCAGTGAATGAACCACAACCTGGCACCTCAACAGAAATTATGACCACCGAAACAAACACTGAAACGGATGAATCACCATTTTTTACTGCTAACCCATACCAACTACCACCTAATACTCCAGAAGAAACTATGGAAATACCATCAACCCCCAGGGAACCAAAACTACCTCCAATATTCGTAAGAAATGTAAAAAAAATTTGCCAGCATTTAAATAAATTACTTGACAATGGTAAATACGCATGTCAATGTTGACACCAAGTTGATGCCAGATTCTCTTGAATCATATAAAAAAATAGTAAAATACTTGACAGATACAAAGGCGGAATTCCATACATATCAGTTATTCCAAGAGAGTGCACTAAGAGTAGTGATAAGAGGCCTCCACCCATCAACTCCATGTAATGCAATCAAAGAAGAATTGACAGAACAGGGTTTCAGTGTCTGCCAAATTGTCAACGTATATAAAAATAACAAAGATCAGCCGGGTACAAACAACAAAATAGCCCTACCACTATTTTTGTAGACCTAGAGCTCACCACTGGGGTCGAAAACATCTATAAATTAAGACGCCTGTACTATACTAGTATAGTTGTCGAAAAACCATATGCAAAACGGGAAATAGTACAATGTCATAATTGCCAATCTTATAGCCATACTAAAAGCTATTACCACAGCTTACCGCGATGCGTGAAGTGTGGGCAGCAACATAATTCGGAAGATTGCAATAAGTCCAAGCAAACTCCATGCCATAAAGATCACCCTGCAAACTACAAAGGATGCCAAACATATAAAATCTTAAAATCAAGATTACAAACAGCACCTAGACGGGAAGAGACTTCCAGGACTCACAGACCACCAAGGCAATCCTCAAGATTTGCAAAGATAGAAGTCTCCTATGCTCAAATGTTAGGAGAACTAGAACAGCATTCTCAACCTCAGAACCTGCCACAAACTCAACCACTACCTCATGGTTCACCACCCGAAAATAATAACACCCAAAAGTTCAGTCCTCACCAAATATCCTACATTCCTCTCCCTAACAATTCCAGTGACCTTACCAGCCTCCTTACATCATTCCTCTCCGAAGTTAAATCCCCCATCACCTCGCTCATCACCTTATTTACAAACGTCATAGCTAATCTTATCCCACCACCAAGAATTCCTTAAAAGTTCTCAACAAAACCCTTTTCCATTCTCCTTTGGAATGCAAATGGTGTTCGAAATCACATCAACGAACTAACCTTTTTTCTAAAGGACAATAACATAGACATAGCCCTAATAACTGAGATAATGCAAGACCTAGATAATGCAGTGAGTTCCTTCACCACCTTGATCCAAAAAGCAGTCTGGACTGCATTCTCACCACTCCCCTACAAAAAAAAAACCTTAAAAAAGAATCCTCTGCCCCTAAACCTTACTGACCTTATTAAATCCAAACGCCAATCTAGGATCCTCTGACAAAGAACCAGGCATCGTGATGATCGGAAATTGCACATTTACTATTTCAAAAAGGTTAAAAAAGAACTGGCTTCCTTTAGATCCCAATCATATAATTCCTACCTTTCTTTTCTCTCTACTGATGACAAATCCCTCTGGAAAGTGACCAAAAAAATCCTTAAATACCAATCTATTTCCCACCCCTTCCCACGAGATGATGGAATCTGGGCTTCGTCAGATGAGACTAGAGCTGAAGAATATGCCAAACACCCACCCATCCAACACATTCACTCCCCACCCCAAACTCTATCTCACCCACACTGCTGAAATTAAAGATTTCCTCTCTTCTCCGATTCCTCTCTCCTTGCCTCCTAAAACTGTCAACCCCTCTGAGGTCAAATTCCTTATAAACAACTTGAAACCTCGAAAATCCTCTGGACATGATCTCCTTACTTCTCAGATCCTTCAGACAACTTCCCAAAAAAACAATCATATTCCTCACAAACCTATATAACTGTACCCTCCTCACAACTCACTTTCCTCTGATATGGAAACACTCCATTATTATCCTCTTCCCTAAACCAGGTAAACCTGTTAATAATACCTCATCCTATAGACCAATAAGGTTACTCCCGATCCTCTCATGGAACCCACGTACCAGACTTAAAAGACAAGAACTTAACAGAACATTTGGCCAGTTATACAGACTACTTAACAGAAAATCTGACCTCTCAATTGAAAACAAACTATTAATATACAAGACCATACTGAAACCAATCTGGACCTACGGACTTGAACTGTGGGGGACAACCAAATTTTCGAACATCAAACACATCCAATCCTTCCAGTCCAAAGTCCTCCGTATAATAGTCGATGCTCCTTATTATGTCACGAACAATACCTTATATCATGACCTTTACATCCCTAATGTCCTTGATGTTATTCCATTGCGATTCTCAAATTTTCACTTGAACCTAATCCACCATCCTAACCCCTTAGCACAATCCTTATCCAGCTCCAGTCATCCCTACAATCCTCCTCGAAGGTTGAAACGGCAGTGGCCTCGAGATCTTTTGTAAATATGTCATTGGAGTTCTGGCACTGGCCAGCTTCTCCACTTAAGTCAAGAGCATCTGTGGCTGTAGTGCTCTCTCTTAGTCTCCACTGGACTGTAATTCCGATGACGTGGCTGAGAGAGTAGCGCTGGGATCTCTTAGAGCCTACCCTTTTCCTCTACATGTGGGGGAAAGGGCTGGACTCGGAGCTCCCTTGGCTGATTGTAAATAAGTATGACTTAGTTTTGTTTTCATTTTTTTTTTTTTTTTTTACTCAGTTTTAATAATTTATTATCATTAATAGTAATTTAATTTTTTTTCCCCCTTATGAATTTTCGGTATTATTTCACTAGCTATATTTCTTTGTTTTTATTACAGTTTTTATTTTTGTTATATATACATTATTATCTTTTATAAATCTATTTTTATGTATTTCACTTTTTTTATTTTAATATATTGTAAATATGGTATGAATATGTCTTACAGCTTTAATACTCAGTACCCGTAAGTGTGGTAAAATGTATTATACCTCAATAAAATGATTAAAAAAAAAAGTTCTTTTAATTTTTAAAAATGTGGTGTGATAAAAATATTGAAAATAGTCCAGATCCAGTTTGTTGAGTGGTTATGTACATATGTATATAAAATAAAAACAAAAATTAATCAATACCATCAATAAAAATCTTGAACAACAAAAAGAAAGTTTTGTCTAAATAGAGGATATTGACATATGGTTTTTAAAAAAATGCAGACAGATGGTATGATTAAATTATTAATATTATTATTGATATGTATAAAATTATTGATAGTTATAAAAAAAAGTTTTAAAATGGCCAAAAATGCTGAAACCTTACAAATATATGTGATATTCAATAATGTTGATAAAGAATTTTTTATTTGTATATGTATTTTTGGGATGAAAAATGTTGTGAAGATTGGTAAGTTTCCTCCATTTGGAAAATTATTTAATAAAGCATTTTTTATTATAGTTTGTTCAATTTATGAAGTTGAAAATGTGTTTCTTTATATTTTAATTATTAGATCTTCTATTTTATTTATAAGATTATTTTACCTTAATGTTAATTTATATCATACAATACTCAAAATATGTCCTTGAATGTTGATTTTTTTGTTGATACATAGAATATCTCCTTTAATAAAATAACCAAAAACTAGCATGCAAAAATAAGAGTTAAGACCAATTCAATTCATTATTAAAGAGGTAGTTTTAGATAAACATATTAATATATTAATCATAAGAGGATTATATATCTGATAGATTTACAGTTTACAATGTCTGATTCCAGGAAGTTGAAGTGAGACAGTTTTTACTTACTAATTTGGTTCAGCATAAAGAAGGATATCATTGGAGATTAAACTTGGATGTGTTAGAAAAAGCATTTCATAAAAAGATAATGGAATTTCCTATTGTTCCTTATAAGTTTGAGAAATCTGTGCTTTTTATTGGAGGTTCTAGATCTGATTTTCTTAAGTAATGATTTTTTAGTATTTTTCTTCCACTTTGGATGTTTTCATTACATTAGTACTGTTTTAAGTATTTGAATAACAAATCATTTCATTCATATTCTGATTATTATTATATTTCAATAACTCAAAACTAGTTTTTAATTTTTTTTTCTTCTTATTTCCTCCTTGCCAATAAGTTTAATTTAATCAAATAAATAATCGTAATTATCGTAAAGGTTTTTTAAAATTTTTATTTAGATGTTTCAGGGATACTTTGTTTCTCCCCTCTTCAGCATATAATATTTTCCATTATTGGGTTTGTCGAAGAATAAGTTTGGTCAATGGTTGTCATTGTTCTTGGACCAACCCAATTCTGATTGCCAAGTGTTTATTGAATTGAATTAGACCTAAGTGCAAGGATTGAGGACGAAATAGGGAATGTTCAAGAGTATGATCTAATAATTTTTTGTTTGATATGTTGTTGGTAAAAGTGCTACTGGTAAATTATTTAACTGTTACTTTGGAAAAACTAAATAAATAATCTTTCACATCCCATGCCACTTCTGGAACAAAAAAAAATTGAAATTTTAAACTCATAACTGTCCCTTTCTATGAAAATGAACTATATAATAAATTATGATAGGAATATAGACAGTATAATATAATGAAATGAAATGAAAAATTATGTTTATTCTTAGACATATGGTGGTATGCATAGACTTCACTATTCCCTTATGGTCCCTAAAAGGCTGAGGTCAGAGTCCAACCCTTAAATTTCCCTACTACTATAGGGGTCATTTAGGGGAGATAGAGGGTCCTTCATCACTCCCAAAATTCCCATTTACTCTCAATAGAATTTATATTTAACTGATAGAAAATGATAATAATTATCATGTTATTATTATTATTTTTGCTATTATTATACTTCTAAAATTATTATTTTTGTTATTATTATACTTCTACCTAAATAAAATCTAGTGAAATAAAACTTCTTAGTTTAAACTATTTCCTGAATATTTAAGAGATAGGTTAAAAGCTAAAAAAAAATTTATTGAGAACGTTTTTTTTCCACTCCACTTCATAGAAATAGTTTTGTCGAGGTATGAGTGTGCAGAGAGGCAGTATGCAAGTTACCAGAAGGCCTCGACAGTGCGTGTTCAGTATTTGAGGTGTAAGATGACTGATTGGATGAAGGAAGGTGAATAGATGGATGACCTCGAGTGACAGGCGGATCAGCAACCAATCACTCTCAGCCTGTTGTGTAAGAGATTAAGCTTAACACTCTGCAAGGATGGTTACCAAAATGTTGATCCAAATTTTTTTTTTTGATCCAAATGGATCAAACTCCGGACTTGTGGGAGGATGAGATACTGACGGAGTGATCAATCTCCAGACTCAGTATATAGGACTGCAAGCGGACGGATCAGCTTCCTACTTACATGGAATAAGAGATGAGGATAAAGGTAAAAGGATAATGTGAAATCAGAAGAGCAGACTAATGTGAACCCAAAGCGTATATGGGACATAAACTGACCACCTGCATTAAGGTCTACACCCTGAAGGGGTGGAGATCCGTAGATCTATCAATTTGAAGTTTGACTGGGGTATCATTCCGCCAAGACTAAACCGGCTACCAAGAGCCATTACAATAACAGTTATTTTGAGCTTTGGTCAGTATATGTTATCGCCATTAATCTTTATTAATAAAAATTCCCATTTACAATGAATATGCTTATTTCAATTTACAAGTTAAGTATTTTATAATACAATAATAAGAAATAAAACATTCAATTTTAGTATGTTGGACGGGCGAGCTTGTAGAGCGCTGCCTGGTAGCAGGAAGGCGAACTCGTTGTTCCTTGTAGTAAGAGCTTGTAGAGCACTGCCTGGTAGGGGGAAGGCGAACTTGTTGTTCCTTGTAGTAAGAGCAGGAAGTCTAACTTGTTGTTCCTGTAGTAAAAGGCGGGAATCTGTCGCCGCTACAGTTTGATAGTAGCAAAATAATGAAATATAACAAATAAGAAAAATGTAAGAGTCTAATAAGAAAAAGAGTCAAATAAGAAAAAGTCTGACATTAGCTGCTTCTTCTTTTCTTAAACATTGGTGTAAAAACGTGTTAAAATATCAATTAAACATCGAGTAAATAAAGGAGGTAACTAGAATGTTGAAATATATAAAAACGTTATTATTATAATTTTATTATATTCTTGTTATTCTAGATGAGTGATATAAAGACAAAACGATTTTATGGAGAAGAGTTACAGCTCCTCACATCCCTAGTTCTCAAAAAAAGCATAAATTATTCAAAATAAAGACACGAATATGGTTTCAAATCCAAAAAAAAAAAAGAGAAATAAGTACCTGAAAGCTGCTGGTTGCAAAAAAGTGCAAAGCTGTGCATATCAGAATTGTGATGCTTATAGGCAGACCCCTAATCAATTTACCAATATCCATTTTGAGTAACGGGATCAACTCATTTATAAAGGTAATTTTTGAAAAACAATACCTTTTTCTTGTGAATTCAGTATCACAATATTTTTCTAATGGGTTTTCTACACCCCTTATGTACCTTTTTGGTATATTTTCTAGATATCCTCCTCCAAATAATTCATAAATTCAACGAAATCATCATCCAAAAAAAAATTTCTATTAATTTTAATAGATAACACTCCTGGAGTCATGCTTTTCCCTCCACAGTTGGAGGGACAAGTCTGGTTTGGAGTTCTCTCGCCAGATTGTAAATATTGTATATAGGTATGTATGTGTTCTTTTTATTCATTTATTTTTAGATTATTTTATTCTTATTTATTGTATTTATATTATTTTTCTGTATAATTTATTTTATTTATTGTACATAGAGTGTGAATGTGATCTGTGAACACTATTATAAATGTCCTTGAGACAGATTATATTTTTCAATAAATAAGTTTTAAAAAATAGATAACATTCACACCTTCTTTGTTCAGGTTTTATATTAAAACATTATACATCAACTTTTTTTTAAATATTACTATTATTAAATATTAAATAAAAGCTTTTATTGTTATTTTTACAATTGAAGTCACCATAATAAAATCATATTAACAATATGGTAGTACCATTCTCCATAAATAACATGAAAATTGAGAAATAGCAAATTCAAAGATACAGATTGTGTTAAAAAATAAATTTTCCAATAATAAATTGTCCTAAATAAAACATACAAAATAAGTTTTATGAGATCAAGCAAAACAAACCTTTTAGCAATTTTGTATAAAATAATATTGTTTGGTAATCTATTTTTTATTTTAATGAAATTTACAACTGTATTACATGGAAAATACAACAAGTAAATGTGACATTGATAACATGACATGTACAACATGAAGAGAAACTACCCATTGGTAGCACTCTAATAATATATTTACATAAGTAGATCATGAGACCATCTTCTTTTGAGACGCCTCGGAGGGTTATCAGGGATTGAGGAGGAAGCAAGGTTTGAAACGAGAGGATTCGGATGGTACTGCAGTTTGTTATGGAAGGAAAGGTATCTGGATTGGGCCAAATCGGAAACATATGGAACATTAAGGTCTTTATGGATGATTTTATTTGTGACAAAGCAAGGAGCGTTGAGGATTTTACGAAGGATTTTGGATTGTAAGGATTGGATACGAGAGGAATTCGATGGTTTATTGGCGCCCCAAAGCTCAATTCCGTAAGTCCAAATAGGTCTTATTATTGTCATATATATGAGTCGTTTGTAATTGATTGAAAGCTTAGAGCATTTGTCTAGTAAGTGCTGCAGTAGTTGAAAATGTCGGGCGGTTTCTAGTCGTTTCAGTTTGGTATGGGGGTTCCAAGTGAGTCGTTTGTCAAGGTGGAGTCCTAAGTATCGGATTTGTTCGACAGGGATAAGAGGGCTATTGTTGAAGGATACTGTAGGACAGGAAATCATAAGTTTACGACGAAGAGTGAAGGTAATTTGATGGGATTTATTGGAATTTATTTTAATCCTCCAGTTTTGACACCCTTTTTCAAGACTTGTGATGTGTGATTGAAGAGTTCGGGATGCAATAAATGGATCGTTATTAACTGATAGGATACATGTGTCATCGGCATAGGTGGTGATCACAGTGTTGGATGGGGTTGGGATGTCAGCTGTATAAACTGTGTAAAGGATAGGACCTAGGATACTACATTGAGGAACACAGGCAAACTGAGTAAAAAGATATGAATAAGCATTGTTATGATAGACTTTGAAGTATCTGTCAGTAAGGTAGGAACGGATAATGAGGAAGTATGTAGGTGGTAGGAATTTACGGAGTTTGTACATCAGTCCTGGATGCCAGACTCTATCAAACGCCTGTTTGAGAACGTCGAGAAAGACTCCCTTGCAGTACATTCCGCGCTCCAATGCAGAGGAGACTACATCTACCACACGATGGCATTGCTGAATAGTGGAGTGGGATGTGCGGAATCCAAATTGGTGATCTGGGATAATGTATTAAGAGTCTAGGATGGGATACAGGCGTTTTAAGATGAGTTTTTCCAGGATTTTGCCCAAAAGAGAGATAGGACAGTAAGAGGATGGGTTTTCTGGCGGCTTTACGGGTTTAGGTATCATTTTGACAATGGATAGTTTCCAAGAGTCAGGAAAATATGTGGTTCGGAGTACAGCATTATATATATAGGTTAGGAACAGTATGGATTTTTTAGGATCTGGGATGTGATTAGGTCATGGCCAGAAGCTTTGCTGGAAGGTAATCTATGAATGATATTGGATATTTCTGAAGGATGAAATACTTTAGGTGGAGGAGTCAATTGGAGTGGGATATCCAATTCTGCTTCAATAAACTCAAGGTGGGTTGGATTAAGGATATCTGGGTGTGGATTAAATGTTTTTGAGAGGTGCTGAGCAAATATTTGAGATTTTTCTTTGTCAGATCTGGACCAGGTTTGGGTTTCAGTAATAAGTGGGTGGTTAAAATCTTTTAATTTAAGGAGCTTTTTAGTGGTCAACCATAGTGATTTGTCAGAAGTAGT